TCCTGTCCTTGAGCTTCTTTTGCTTAAGCCTAGTACTCTACCAGTTGAGTCACAGGGCCATTTTCAGCCTTTTCTATTTATGTGGTACTGAGGAATCAAATCCAGGGCTTCATGCATGCTAGGCAAGCACTCTACCACTAAGCCACATTCCCAGCCCCTCAAAGTAGAATGTAGATGTAATAAAAGAAAATTCTATAAGCATATGGCTTATCTTTTGCTGGTATTCTTGGAAACCATATTTCTGGTTGTTGAGTTGACTTTTTCACATTATTTATTAGTAACTGTACATAAACTATTACTTTGTGAAATAGCTATCCAAACTGAAATGTCTTCATACTGATTAATTTGAATTTATAGTAGCTTTAAAAAAATTATTACAGCCAGGTGTCGGTGGTTCATGCCTGTAATCATAGCTACTCAGGAGGCTGAAATCTGAGCATAACAGTTCAAAGCCAGTCCAGGCAGAAAAGTCCGTGAGACTCTTATCTCCAGTATACCACCAGAAAACCAGAAGTGGCACTGTGGCTCATTGGTAGAGAACTAGCCTTGAGCTGAAGAGCTGAAGGACAGCACCCAGGACCACAGCTAAAGCTGCACAACCTAGGGGGAAAAATGTTTATTACAGAGGGGTTACATTTACAAGCATCAGGTAACAAGTACATTTCTTTTCATAGAGTGTCATCTGTTTCCTCATTCTCTCCCATTCCTTCCCTCCCATCTCCACCCATGAGTCATATAGTTCACTTTCATCAGTGTCCAGTGTGTTCCACTGCTGCACTTTGTGTCACCCTTTGTCATTGGATTCTGTACCCTCACTTCCCTTCCCACAAATATGCATGTGAATATGCCTTATATAAGGTAAAGAATACAGAATCATCAGAAAAAAAATAAGTTAAAAAACTCTTTTGTAGCTAGGCACTGGTGACTCATACCTGTCATCCTAGTTATTCAGGAGGCTGAGATCTGAGGATTGCAGTTCACAACCACCCCGGGCAGGGTTTATTGGAGATTCTTTATCTCCAGTAAACCAGTAGAAAACCGAAAGTGGCATTGTGGCTCAAGTGATAGAGTGCTCGCCTTAAGCTGAAGAGCTGAGGGACAGTGCCCAGGCCCAGAGTTAAAGCCCCACAACCGACCAAAAAAAAAAAAGTCATTTGTTTCCCTATCTTTGGAGTTCATATTATTTTGTATATATATGAAGAGACACTTAGGCATTACACCTTTGTGATTTCTCTCCTAAGAATCTCCTCTTTTGGTCTCACTGAATGTGCATATCTAGAATCCTGTGTAATTTGTCATATCATAGTGCCTTTTAGATCTAACTTCTACAGATCAGAGAGAACATGTTCCATTTGTCTCTCTGATCTTGGCTTACCTTAGTTAACATGATGTGTTCTAGTTCTGTCCATTTCCCTGCAAATGACATTCTTTTATTCTTTCTAATGGCTATGTAAAATTCCATTGTATATAGGTACCACATTTTTTGGATCCACTCATCAGGGCAGTACATTTTAATTTTTGTCTTTTTTAATATATATTTTTATTGTAAAGATACTGCACAGAGGGGTTACAGTTACATGAGTAGTAAGTCCATTTCCTATGGAGCATTTTTACCCCCTCCTTTGTTTTTCCCCTACCATCCCTTCCCTCCCCACTCCCCAACCCCTCTCACCCCCCCTCCACCCGCATAGTTGTAAAATTCGTTTTCAACATACTATCTTGTACATCTCATTGTTACAATGGGTCATCCTATATCCATATTACAGCATTTTGTTGTTTCCCTTCCTCTCCCCTGCCCAAATTAGAAAAATGTATATACAAGATCCTGGACACTGTAGTCAAATACAGTGACAACAGGAGTTGTACCATGGGAGAAAAACATACAAAGAAACAAAAAAAATCACATAGTACATTATAAGTACATTAAAAAGAACAGCAACAAAGATTAAACCTCTTGTGTCCCTATCGTAAGGTTCATTTTGCTTAGCATCAGGTTATATGGTCTGGCTTACTTCACTTAACAGCATTGAGATTCCACCTCATCCCAGTTAGAATGACTATAATCCAGAAGTTCGATAACAATAGATGCTGGAGGGGATGTGGCTGAAAGGGAACTCTACTGCATTGTTGGTGGGAATGTAAACTTGTTCAACCACTTTGGAAAGCAGTATGGAGGTTCCTCAAAAGACTTTACAGAGTTCCCTATGACCCAGCAATCCCACTTTTAGTCATTTACCCAGACAATCACAAACAAGGCCATACTAAAGCTACCAGCACAGTTATGTTTATCACAGCATTATTTACCATAACTAAGATATTTAACCAACCCAAATGCCCCTCAGTAGATGAATGGATCAAGAAAATGTGGTGTACGCACACACACACACGCACGCACGCACACACACACGAATTCTGTGCCTCAGAAGAATGACAGAATGACACTGCCCCATTTGTTAGGAAATGGAAAGACTATAACTTCTGTTTGTAGACTTCTTTTTCTTTGGGGCATGAGGAGTACTGTGGTTTGAACTGACAAGTTTTTGCTTGCTAGGTAAGCACTCTACCACTTTAGCCATGCCTCCAACTTTTTTTGCTTCAGTTTTTCAAATAGGATTTCATTTCTTTTCATGGCTATCCTCAGAAAACAATTTTTCTGTCTCTGCCTCCAGTGTAGCTAGGATTACAGGAACAAGTCATCATTCCAAGCTTGTTTCTTGCTACTCATCTATTTTGGGGCATCTGGATTGTTTCATATGTTGGCTATTGTGAATAGTGCAGCAGTGAACATGGATGTGCAGGTGTCCTTATCCTGGCTCATAATGCTCAGGGTAGATGCCTAAGAATGTTGTGGCTGGGTCATAAGGAAGATCTATGTTTAGTTTTTTTTTTTTTTTGGTTTGTTTTTTTTGGGGGGGGGTTCCAGTCATGGGCCTGAACTCTGGGCTTGGGCACTGCCCCTCAGCTCTTCAGCTCAAGGCTAGCACTCTACCATTTGAGCCACAGCGCCCCTTCCGGCTTTTTTCTTTTTGCTTATGTGGTGCTGAGGAATCGAACCCAGGGCCTCAGGCATGCAAGGCAAGCTCTCTACCATGGAGCCACCTTCCCAGCCCCTATGTTTAGTTTTTTGAGGAACCTCCAGACTACTTTCCAGAGTGGTTATACTAGCTTATATTCTCAACAGCAGTGCAGTAGGGTTCCTTTTATCCCATATCCTCAAACAACATTTGTTGTTATTCAAAATGTTGGCCAATCTAACTGGAGTGAGTCAGAGTTGTTTTATTTGCATTTCCTTTATGGCTAGGGATGATGAGCATTTCCTCATGTGCTTCTTTGCCATTCTTACCTCTTCTTAGCTCCTCCTCTTCTCAGCTCCCTTGTCCATTTAGTAATTTGTAAATTAATTTTGGGGTTAGTTTCTTGATCTCCTTGTGTATATTGGATATTAGGCCTTTGTCGAATATATTTAGTAGCTTTTTTAAAACCACATATGACATTTTATTTATTTATTTATTTTTTGGTCCAGTCGTGGGGCCTGAACTCTGGGCCTGGACGATGTTCCTCAGCTCTTCAACTCAAGGCTAGCGCTCTACCACTTGAGCCACAGCAGCACTTCTGGTTTTTTTCTTTTTCTTTTTTTGCTTATGTGGTGCTGAGGAATCGAACCCAGGGCCTCATGCATGCAAGGCAAGCGCTCTACCACTGAGCCACCTTCCCAGCCCCACATATGACATTTTATTGACATGATAATTTACTAGGATCTCTAGTGCATTATATAGTAGCTTTTTTTTTTTTTTGGGTCCAGTCGTGGGGCCTAAACTCTGAGCCTCGGCGCTGTCCCTCAGCTCCTCAGCTCAAGGCTAGCGCTCTACCACTTGAGCCACAGCGCCACTTTTTTCTTTTTGCTTATGTGGTGCTGAGGAATCGAACCCAGGGCCTAAGGCATGCAAGGCAAGCGCTCTACCACTGAGCCACCTTCCCAGCCCTATATAGTAGCTTTTTGATGGATGAATTCTAATTGGGGGTAGTAAGTATTTAGTCATGTTACTGAAATCTTGTTCGTTGAACAAGATCATAATTACTACTTAATATTTGTAAGTGCTAACTTGTGCAAGAAACTGAAGGCTATAGGTACATAATAAGTAACATTTGAAGTATTAAAAATGGGCTTAGGTTCTGGTGGCTCATGCCTATAATCCTAGATATTCAGAAAGCTGAAGTCTGAGGATTGCTTTTCAAATCCAGCCTGGGCTGGAGTGAGTCTGTGAGACTCCTACCTCCAATTAATCGCAAATGAAACTGGAGGTAGAGGTATGGCTGAAATGGCAGAGCTCTAGTCTTCAGCAAAAGCAGTTCAGGGAATGCTCCCAGGTCCTAGAGTTCAAGGCCCAGAACTGGCCCCCAAAAATATAAACCATGGCTTGATTATAAAAGAGTGTACCACAGAGGTAAGGTATAAACCAGCATTAAATCAAACTGAAGACTATGTTTATCTAGTAGCTTTTTCCCCCACATAGTTTTGTGGGTTTTTTGTTTGTTTTTGTTTTTGCCAGTCCTGGCACTTGAACTCAGGGCCTGGGTACATTCCCTGAGTCCTCTATGCTCAAAGCTTTACCACTTTAGCCACAGTGCCTAGGAATTGAACCCAGGGCGTTATGCATGCTAGACAAGCACTCTACCACTAAGCCACATTCCCAATCCCTCCCATATAGTTTTGTAATACATAAATTTAAATAAAGTGTTAATATTGAAAGGCTTTAAATGGCAAGGTACAGAGTTTATGGTTGGAACCAAAATAGTTTCGAGCAGCGGATATTGATAAAGAGGAAGAATTTTTTTTAAAAGCTTAACTATTAAAGATACTTCAATTTCTTATGTGGGAAGTGCTACATAAAAGTTATATTGAATAATATTCCTCTTTATTACAGATTAGGCAGTACCTAATGTCCCGTGCATAGATTAGTAAACTGACTCATTAAATGGCTCTTTCCCCCCTCTTTTAGGTTGTAAAGTGATTGATTGGTTTTACAAGCAGGATTTATGAACATCTGTTTCTCCATTGAATGAAGTTTTAGGCTATCTATAAGGCTCACAGCCAGGCAAGCACTATTCCTAATATATACATGTAAGTATATATGGGTAATAAGGGTTACGTGAGAGCTGAGACTAATGTTATTTGGATCTTAAGTGTAATGCAAAAGGTTAATGAATGAAAAGCATAAAATAAGCCTCATCTGTTAAGAAAATAAATACAAATGAAAAAATAAGAGAAATAGACAAGATAGTATAGTTTCTAAATCTTATAAATAGACTGTAGTACTAGTGATAATTTAGGAAATTTAAGTTATTAGTTGACTGATCATATTTGAATGGGCTATGATACATTGTGTTTTGTTCTCAAATAATTTGTAATATAATTTGCTGGATGGATGAAGAGTTGCATAGGATGGGGTATGTTGGAAGGGGTGTAACCATACCTCTTCCAGGCCCTGTCCAGGCCCACCATCTTCCAGGAACCTTCATATCTACAGTTACCAGGAAGATCCTGATACCTGTCATTTTAGGTTGTCATGAGGACTTAATTTCATAGTTACGATTAAAGCATGGATAATGTGTACAAATGTGATTGGACCAAAAAGGGTTTGATTTAATGCTAATAGACTGAATGGGAAACCCCGCAAGGCCTGCCTGTTCAGATTCTTCTTGGGCTGTTTGTTCAGTGTTCCTCCTGGGTAGGGAGCAGGTCCCCTTCTGAAAATGAGTGCCTGCTATCTCCATCTAAAGATGGGAAAGTTTAGAGTATATTTTTGGTTTCGAAGTTTCTGTGGTTAGACTTGGGGTGAAAAGGATAAAAGCATCCGTGAAAGGCAAGCAAGAAGGTCAGAGAAAAGCTTGCTTACTGTGGTTTATGGTGAACCATTTTTGTCACTTAGGGAGAGAAGCTATGGGAATAATGAGCCAGGAACTATGGGGAAAAAAAATCAAAACATGTATTATATTGTTAGAGATGCTCATGTATATTGTCAAACATAGCATCAAAATTGGTGCATTATAAATTTTGTATTGGGCTGTTTTATATTTGGACACTAGCGAATTCTGTTAGGGATAAATAATATATTAGATGATTTACATTTCTAAAAAACTGGACTAAAAGTTGAGGCTTCTGAAGCTTTAATCTAGGACCACTTAGTCAATAAGGTTTTGGAAATTTCCTTACAAAAATAATTTGTGTCTCCTAGAACAACTAATATATGCAAATAAAATTTTTTATTTTAAAAAGGAAAAAAATCATTTAAGCCTGGAGTTGGTGGTACATGCATGCCTACATTCCACATGTAATTGCAGCACTCAGGAAGCTGAGGCGGGATAGACTAGCCTGTGCTGATAGTGAGGCTTGTCTCCATTAAACAACTTAAATAATTTGTTTTCATTTAGGTGTTCACATGCCTCCCAGTGCTTCCTATATTAAAATTCATGTAAATCTCCAAATCTAAACACCTAATGAATTTTATTTTTTTGTGATTTTTAAAAAAATATACGTACCTTAAAAAAATGTCCAATTAAATTTTGACTCTTTTTTTCTTCAAAAAAGGAAAGTAATGTGTCAGTTGGTACATTTTTGGGTTGCCTGACTGATGCCAGTGCTTGGTTAATGGTAGATATAGGAAAGAGCAACAGTTCTGCTTCTGATTGGTTCTGGACAAATTTTAAAGTGCTCTTAATTAAATTGTCCACAGTTAATTTGACTTCAACCCCATCATGTCTTTCTGTTAAGACAATGATGAAAAAACTCAACAATACATTTCCTTTTGGTCACATGTATGAAACTGGAAGAATTCATTTTCTGTTAAAGTCTTGTGTGTTCCCTAGATTTGCAGCCTACCAACTGCATGTTAACACATGAATAATCCAGATGGCTAAGCTGTTGGAGGATATAAAACCAAACTTGTTTCAGGAATCTCCAGTGATCCACTTTCTTCATCTTTGGATAATATCCATTCTAATTAGTAGTGACTGTCTCAATTTGTCTTAAATTTAACTTTTAACTGCATGTTTTCTTGATTTTTACCTTAGGTTACAAAATGTCCTATGCTTGAGATCTACAGACAACATGTCCTACAGGAACTAATCAGTGGTCTTTCATCTCCTGGAGATACATTAGAAGCATAAATATGGTGCCAAAGGAACTCCTTATCTTTCTCTGACTACAGTTTATTTGGACTTAATTTTGTATTTGAAGAGAGGCGTACAAACTGAGGTTACTCATTGTGCAAAGACTCTGTTGTATAGGATCATGGACCATCCTGGTAGGGAAAAGGATGAAAGACAACGAACAACTAAACCCATGGCACAAAGGAGTGCACATTGCTCCCGATCTTCTGGCACGTCATCATCCTCTGGGGTTCTCATGGTGGGACCCAACTTCAGGGTTGGCAAGAAGATAGGGTGTGGTAACTTCGGAGAGCTCAGATTAGGTAAGAACTTGGTTGTGTCCTTTGCTTCCATTAGCTTCAATAACAATAAGTTTCAAGACAAGTAATTTATAACTCTATGGCCAGTTTCTCTTTAAGTAGAACCAAATGGCATAAGAAATGAAGAATTTGTGGAGTAGACTGTAGTAATTTTTAGTCATAATTTTATTGTCCAAGGTTCATTTCTCTTCTCTCTGTGCTTTTTTTAAACTTTCCACTAGTTCTGCGATTTTGTGATACCAGGAGATTGTTTGCAAATTCTGATATAGAAGGTTTGATGTAGAACCTGAATTTGAGTTTTTAACAAATTTTCATGTAATGCAGATGAGTTTGATTCTTTTAATTCTTTTTATTTTAAAAACTATGGATCACCTCACAAATTTATGTATCATTTTTATACAGGGGCCATGCTAATTTTCTTGCATCATTTCAGTTTTAGTATATGTGTAGCATGGTTGTTTGATTCTTGAGTTACAGTTGAAGAAGGGACTAAGCCAGGAATTGGTGATGGCCACTGTTAACACCAGCACTCTTACTACTTAGTGAAAACACTGTCTCAAAAAAAAAAAATTCAGATTCTACCCCTGGAAGAGGAGTAAATCTTTACTCAGTAATTTAGTTAGAGAGATTTTTAGTGCATACTACTTGCTTTTCTCCTAGAGTTCTCAACATTAGGATTGAGTTAAAACTCCAAGAAAAATTTCTGCATTTTTACTTCCCAACCAAAAAATTTGCTATTTCAGGTTTGATTTTATGTGTAAGATGATGAATCATAACACATACCAACATGTTTAAAGATTGGAGATGGAGAAGGCATAGTAGGTAATTATATAATGGGCCACTGTACTTGAGAAGAGAAAATGAAAGACTTTTTTGTCAGTCATGGTTCTTGAACTCTGGGCCTGGGTGCTCTCCTTGAGCTGAAGAGCTCAAGGCTAGCATTCTACCACTTGAGCCACGGCACCACTTCCAGTTTTCTGGTGGTTAATTAGAGATAAGAGTCTCACGGACTTTCCTGCCCGGGCTGGCTTTGAACTGGGATCCTCAGATCTCAGCCTCCTGAGTAGCTTGGATTACAGGATTGAGCCACCAGCAGCAGGCATGAAAGACTTTATATAAAGTAATCAGCTTATGGAATGTGCATAGGTCTCCTTGTAGGCTACAGTATTTCCTTCAGCTATTGAATCTATAAATTATAAATACTCATTGTAAGAAGCTTTGGCTTTTGGATGAGTGGGAAGAAGGGAACATGAAATTAATACTGTTTCATACCTCTGTTACTTCTGATGATCTTGCAAAAGAAGAAGGAAAAACCATCTGATTCCCTGTAGAGAGCACTGGGGGAAATGTCATTATACTAAACAGCACTGGGTACAGAATTAAATTTAAGGATGCTTACAATGAAGGCTAGCAACCTGGAATTGGACCTGACTAGGATAATGAAAGGCTCTTTCTATTTAGAGATATGTTCATGTTCGAGTTAGGAAAGCCAGCAGATGCTACTGAGAATAGGAGTAAGATGTGTAATTTCACACTGCATGACTTCCTAGCAACTACTCAGTTGCTTTGGCAACAAGTTTTGCAAACATTCATTTATGTAATGGTTTTACTTTGTTTCAATATCACAGTACTACAAGCATCAAAAAGATGATGGAATAAATATCTACAAAATTATTGCTGAGAGGCAGTTTGTAATGTGTATAAACTTGTACATTCTCCTAACAACAGATAATTGTTTACATTCTGTGAAAGTGAAGAAAAACCTTGGATAGTGAATAATCACTGGAGGCTAAGGTTATACTAACAAGTTTACATGAAAATGGAAAAATCCACTCAATTAATAGGATAAACTTGTGGTTCATTTATACTTTAGAATGTGTATACATTAGCAGATGTTTTGTTTTTGTTTTTAGTCTTCTGTGTTGCCCAGATTGGCCTCAGACTCACTATGTATAACTCAGTATGTAATCGACTATGTAAACCCACTATGTAATCCATTCTCCTGCCTTTCCTCCTGAGTGTTGGGAATGTGAATGTTCACTACCATGCTGTACTGATATTTGTCGTTTTATTGTTGTTGTTGTTTTTTGTCAGTGATGGGGCTTGAACTCTGGGCCTGGGCATTGTCCCTCAGCTCTTCAGCTTAAGGCTAGCGCTCTACCACTTGAGCCACAGTGTCACTTCCACTTCCAGTTTTCTGGTAGTTAATTGAAGATAAGAGTCTCACAGACTTTTCTTTTTTTGGGGGGGGTCTGGTCGTGGGGCCTGAACTCTGGGCCTGGGCGCTGTCCCTCAGCTCTTCAGCTCAAAGCTAGCACTCTACCACTTGAGCCACAGCGCCACTTCCGGCTTTTTTCTTTTTGCTTATGTGGTGCTGAGGAATCAAACCCAGGGCCTCAAGGCATGCAAGGCTAGCACTCTACCACTGAGCCATCTTCTCAGCCCTCTCACTGACTTTCTTGCTTGGGCTGGCTTTGAACTGCAATACTCAGATCTCAGCCTCCTGGTAGCTAGGATTACAGGCATGAGTCACCTGCGCCCGGCTGATATTTCTCATTTTGACTTGCTGTGTTATTTTTTTTCCAGTCCTGGGGTTTGAGCTCAGGATCTGGGCACTGTCCCTGAGATTCTTTTGCTCAAGACTAGCACTCTGCCACTTAAGCCACAGCACCACTTCTGGCTTTTTCTATTTATGTGGAACTAAGGAATCAAACCCAGGACTTTATGCATGCTAGAGAAGCACTGTACCACTAAGCCATATTCCCAGCCCATGACTATTCTTGTGTGCTTATCTGCCTTTATTAGCCCATAAGTAGAAAGGTACTTTTAGAATAATTTGGCATCCATTGAACACTAGAGTGGGCCATGTACCCTATTTTTATAATTTTCTTTTCTATGTATGAGTAAGCAGAAGATTGTGTAGATAACAGCAAATATAAACTAAGAGATACCAAGGAGGCTCAGGTAGGCCTTCACATGACCACCTTATTGGTACAAGGCCCTACTTCTCTAAACTCATTTCCTTTTCTGGTGATTGATACTTTCATATATCTTTCGTTCGTTCTTTTCTTTCCTTCCTTCCTTTCTCTCTCTCTCTCTCTTTCTTTCTCTCTCCTTCCTTCCTTCCTCTCTCTCTCTCTCTCTCTCTCTCCCTTCCTTCCTTGTGCTGTGGCTTAAATTCAGTTGGCTTTTTCCACTCAAGGCTAGTGCTCTACCACTTGAGCCACACCTCCACTTCTGCCTTTTCTGGCTTTTTGGCGATTAATTGGAGAAGAGTCTCATGGGGTTTTTCTTTCTTGGCCTGCCTTCTAATCAGGATCCTCAGATCTTAGTCTCTAGAGTAGCTAGGATTGCAATGTGAACCATCAGGGCCTGGTACCAAGTACATTCCTGCTTTAATTCTCTGGGATGGAAAATTCTTTCCCTAAAATCTTGCATAGTTGTTGGTTCCTATTTTATTGTTGTTGTTGCTGTTTTTGCCAGTCCTAGAGCTTGAACTCAGGGTCTGGGCACTGTCCCTGAGCTGCTTTTACTCAAGGCTAGCATTCCACCACTTCAGTCACAGTGCCACTTCTGGCCTTTTCTGTTTATGTGGTACTGAGGAATCGAACCCTGGGCTTCATGCATGCTAGGCAAGCACTTTACCAGGAAGACACATTCTCAGCCCCTTGTTTCCTATTGTTGAGGTTTAGCTTATAATCTTGTTAGAGGCTATTTTGTTCTTGCAACTTCTTCCCCACTCCCATTTAAATGAGTACTTCCCACTCCCCACCCCACCCCTACCCCCGGCATCATGGGCCTCAAACTCTGGGCCTAGGCACTGTCCCTCAGATCTTCAGCTCAAGGTGAGTACTCTACCACTTGAGCCACAGTGCCACTTCTAGTTTTCTGGTGGTTTACTGGAGATGAGTTTCATGGACTTTCCTGCCTGGGCTGATTTCAGGTCTGAGTAGCTAGGATTATAGGCATGAGCCACCAGCACCCGCTAAATGAGTACATTTCTTCTCTAGCATCTATCTAGCATATTCTGTCTCACCAAACTGCTTTCTTTTTTTTTTTTTTTTTGGTCAGTCATGGGGCTTCATCGCTGGGCCTGGGTGTTGTCCCTGAGCTCTTCAGCTTAAGGCTAGTGCTCTACCACTTGAGCCACAGGGCCACTTCTGGTTTTCTGGTGGTTAATTGGAGATAAGAGTCTCACTGACTTTCCTGCCTGGGCTGTCATCCTCAGTTCTCAGCCTCCTGAGTAGCTAGGATTACAGGCGTCAGCCACGGGTGCCCTGCTCCAAACTACTTTTTTATAGCTGTTTGTTTACTTACTTTTTTTTTTTTGCAACAGTCGCAAATTCCTTTCTTGAATTCTTCACATTGGTAACTATAACTTTCTGAAATAATTTTGTATATTTATTTACTAGTTAAGACCTTCTCCTTACATGACTACAATTCTTGTTTGGGTTTTTTTTTTTAACTGTATTTTTTTTGTCTTTTCTTTTTTGGTACTGGGGATTGAACCCAGGACGTTGCGCTTGCTAGGCAAGCGCTTTCCCACTGAGCTACATCCCAGCCCATGACTACAATTCTTTTGGAGTGCAGGAATTCTTTCTATATAACTTATTGTAATAGATGAGATAGAGTGTTAGATGGCTAGACAAAGAAGGGAACAAATTAAAAGTATATAGTCAGGCGCTGATGGCTCACACCTGTAATCCTAACTGCTCAGGAGGCTGAGACCTGAGGATCGAGGTTCAAAGCCAGCCTAGGCAGGAACATCTGTGAGACTCTTATCTCCAATAAACTACTAGAAAACTGGAAGTGTCACTGTGGCTCAAGCAGTAGAGCGCTTGCCTTGAGTTGAAGAGCACAGGGACAGCGTCCAGACCCAGAGTTCAGGCCCCATGACTGACAAAAATAAATAAATAAAATAAAGTATAGGCCCTCCCCTTTTTTTTAATCAGTCATGAGGCTTGAACTCTGGGCCTGGGCACTGTCCCTCAGCTCTTCAGCTC